AAATGGTGGCTTTGACAGGCAAAATAAAAGGAGAATAGATCGGCAGTTACTCGTGCATTTGGCAAACATACTGTATACTGTATATACTGTAAATCAACATGGTGCAAGCAAACAGGCACAGTTTGTGTTGATTTCTTTGACAATACACAGTTAAGTAAGTGAATCTCTCTGAAGCCCAACTGGCATTTTGGAGTCCCTCATGAGTTAGTCATCCTGAATACATGCAGTTCATTTCATAATTTGGAAGAAGTATTTTTCCCCAATTGACACCGGGTCCCCAGAGCACCAACAACGACGCAACAATACCTATTTTTGACTTTTTGTATTCAATTATTTATGATAAGGTTGTCACGTTTTGAGGGGATGATAATCATATATATTTTTGGTAAACTCAAACAGTTGTCACTCGTTGTTTAACTACATGACATTAAACCCCCACTTAAATCAGACTTATGATATCTTGATGTAAAAACAGGGACACAATTTGTAATGTGAACAAATGAGCAGCAGCTGTTTATTCAGAAGGTGCCGGCATGTTTTAGACGGAGTAACAAATCAGAGCTATTTTCAGTAAACTGACACCGAAAACAATCTCTATGATGACCAGTATTCAAATAATAAAATAGAAATTGCAAAATAAAAGGATATGGTTTCCGTTTGCAACAGATATTCAAAGACAGTAACTAAAACGTACCTATTATTGTGGATTTCACATGAATATGCATACTACGGTTGATTGCAAGAGATAATGTTTCACTTGAATATCGACCTTCAAAACCTTTGGCTGCGACCTTGACCTCGTGTCCCCCTCCGAGTGTATATTGTGTTTGCTCCTTTCAACCCAGAGATGTTTAAATGACACCGTTTGTGTCTCAGTGATGGTGAAACAGCCGACTACTGTCCTCACATGCTGCTGGAGGGACGCCCCCATTGACTGTTTACGGCCCTGAGCTCATTAGAGGGGGGGTAGTGGCCCACCCAGGAGGGAGGAACGGGGAGGAGATAGTTTGTTTTGGGGTTACAGATGGGGTCCAAAACTAGCAAGCCACATGGATGTCTGGGAGCAAATTAATTTTACACAAATATGGCCAGGATCCGTTGAATTTTCAGAATATTGGGTTGCAGATTAAAATACTTGAAATAACTAAAGGATCAGTTAAAAAAGAAAGTAGAAAGAAAGAAAGTGAGGTCAAAGAAAACTATTTCTGCTAAAAAGTTAGCAATGACAGAGTCAGGCCTAAACATTTCAGATGTGTGTATCTCACACTGCTGTAACTTCAATTCATGTACCTTTGTTATTCATGTTTCATTATCTTTGCTTTTAAATGAGTGTTTTTAAATGCCATTTTATAATATGTTTCTTAACTTTGAATTGCCTTGTGTTGAAAGGTGCTATATAAATAAACTTGCCTTGCCTTCTGGAACGTGTTGATTTACTTCTGTGAGGAATTTAAAACTGCAATACACAGGTGAGTATAACCAAACTACTACTGTACTCACCTTGGATCTTTAAAGTTATTTCATGTGACAAAGTAACATCATAATTCCTTTGGAGTCACGTAAGAGACAGTTAAGTCCAATATGAATCTATTTGCTTTGGTCTTTCTTTAGACATGCCTGATGGACATATGGGCTCTTTAGCTGCTAAATGCCTAAATATGTTCACCATAAGTGTGCCTGTCTACTGTTTGGTGCTGAACAGGTAGAGTACAATTGGTTTTTAGAGCTTTTTTACTGAAAACAGTTGCATGCTGTGGCAAGAAATGATGCTATTAGAGCAATGAGTGAGCCAAAACAGTAAATATGTGGGTTTGACATTTTAACAATGAGCTGAAACTTATATTATAAATTATAACCATAAAGAGGGAAGCTGTATATTAAAGAGGAGATTCTCTGTTGGATCATTAATACTATTGACACCTTTCACATTGTCAGTCTCTTCATCATATCAAACTCGCTTTGAAGACATCATGTACTTTGAGCATATAAGCTGATTTAAAAAAACATCCAGGTCTTTTTGTTTGTGTTCGTATAAAGTACCGATATAAACAAGGAAATACAAAGTTATCGGGTTGATTGGAAAATAAAACACATTCGGAGATACACTTTGAAGCAGTGAATTGTAAAAAAGACGTTCAATCTATAAGAATATGAGGGGAATAGAAAGGGTGTGGCATGTGGCAAAGTGTATACAGGTATACAGGTATTTCTGATGAGTCGTTTTTTAAGATGTAACTGATTTTCACTGTTTTGGACATTAGGTCATTTACTCATAGCATTCAGAACAATGACCTGTAACTCAGCAACATGTTATGAATCACCTTAAGTGTTGTATTTCTCTAAAGGAAGATCAAATTCCCCATACATCCTTTAATTTGCTGTCTGATTAATTTGTGCTGAAAGATAACTCTCCTCTCAAAGTGTAAAGGGAACCCAGTGTTGACCCACATTTTGATCTAATGGCTATTAGCAGCTAACTAGCTGTCCTTTTGCTGCCAAAAAAAAATCTGAAGTGAGGGCAAAGAGCCACTTATAAGAAGAGAGAAAGAGAAAAGGCAGCCAGAAACCAAGGAGAAGTAAGCGAGAGTAAGCGAGGAACAGTTTGAGAGGAGGAGAGACGGAAAGAGATAAAAAAAAAGAAAGATACGAACAGAGGAATAAAGGGAAAGCGAGGAGCTTACGCAGTGAAAAGAGCACATTAGGGGCGACCTGCTGCGACAGTGCTGTGGGGAACGGTGAATAACTGCCTCCATTTAGACCAGTGTCCTGGTGGTGTGGAGCCAGGGGCCTCAGATGGACACACACACACTCAAAAACACACTCATAAAGCAAAATAAAGTCATTCAAAAAGCATGTGTTTCCTGCACACACTGATACCTGACACACACTCATGCTCACACACCTCCTCGCTGGCCCTCTCATTCACACATTTCTCCACATTGGCCGGATTAGGAACACTTTCTCTTGGGTGTGCGAGGCTGCCCTGCACACAAAGAAACACTTGGGGACAGGATTAGTAGGCTTACAGCGGATTCACATATGTCCAGTTCAAGCAATTGGTATTCAAAGCTTTACACTTTCAAATGCCACCAAGAGAGAGCAAAGCCGACCAGCGCTTTTCTTTGCATTGGCAGCACCTTTATGAGAAGGGCTCTTTTGCAGGGCCAACAATGAGGCCGAGAATACTCATTTTTACTGTTCTACCAGGGGGATCTCATTGGCGAAGGATAGAGCAGAGTTTGAGACAGACTTTATTATGGGTTTGAAGTGCTGGGTGGGTGGGTGGGTGTGCAGACGGTTGGATGAACGGACGGACAGACGGATGGAGGGATGGAGGCTGAGGTGGTCGTGCTTGAGTTACTTCCACATGTTATTGTTTGGAGGCCTGTTCCTCCACTCCACCTTCACAAAACAGATCTGGAGGAGACTCTTCAGAGTGGAGAGAGCACTCTCAGCAGCTCAATATAGACAATGCTGACTCAATTTAGTGTATTCTTCTATTAATTTAATACAAACACACCTTTAGAGATCTGTCTGATTGCTTAATAAAATATATTTGAAGAGGCTAAATGTGTTGTCTTTATTTTTCATTAATTGGTTTATTGTGAAATATAGTTCAATGTGATTTCAATGTATAATGTTTATTGCCTTGTTTTTTAAACATATTTGTAGCATGGCATTTTGTAATATTCTTCCTTATTTTGTACTTGTAGATTTCAGTGTGTGGTGTTTGCCTCAAACAGCGCCTTAAGGGAAGAATAAAGTATTTGTAATGACATTTTTGAAAATGGTTGAATGGCTGTTATATGAGCAGTTTTTTTCAGTATTTTGACTGTCATTAAATCTAAAACGAAATGTATAACTATATGCTAAATGTTATTAATCCAAATATAGTTTCCTTGTTCATTTTTAAGGAGAACATTGTTTGAATGAATTGTGGGAAAACACAGTTATAAGTTATGAAATATCGGATATTAAAAAATGAAAGAAATTAAACGAAAATGTTATTTTAGTATAAGACGTGGGAGCTATGAGAGGTTTTATGGAGGTCCAGACACGAGGCCCACATGCTGCCATATGGCCAGCAGAGTGCGGAGTGTCGGAGCGGCCTGTTCCCTCTCTGTTACCTCTCTGTCCCAGCGGAGTCCGGCTCCCTGCGGCACAGGAGCTGCTGAATGGGGAAGCAATTTCCCTTCATTCCTCCTCACTCCCTCAGGCAACCAGCGAGAGTTTGCTTTGAGATTTGACCGTGCGAAAAACACTGAAAATTAACAATGTGTGAGAAGCTGGGGAGGTATTTTAGAGAACAGTCTTTACTTTTCTTGCTGCATATTACCAACAAAATATGTATTGAAACAGCTGAAATAAAAAGCAACACTTTTGGCGATGTTATAACAAGGATTTTGTGCGTATAAGTCAAATTACGCAGCACATAAAATGCTCAGACAAGACCATTACAGGTGTTTTGGTAGCTTATGGATAAAATATAATACAACAAAAACTTATTTTAATAAAAACAACTTCTATGACATAAAATAGTCTTTAAAAAAAATCGAATATAAGAAGCAATTTCAAAACTGACCATGTTCGTCCCCGGAGGAGCAACTTTTCTGATCCCAGGAGGAGAAGAGAAAGGGAAGAGAATAAAAAAGGAGAAGAAGAGAGGCGCGCTGTGCCCCCCAGCAGTGTCCTGACAATGGCAGTGAATGGTTGCGCACCGCGGTCACTGGGACAGTCAAAGCACACCGCCCCCTTTCTAACGAGCACGTCATCCTCCTAAGGCGTTATGAATAGGAAAGCCGCTTTTGTTTCCCTGCGTGTATAAATACCCACTATCAGTGTCCTCCTCACCGCAGAGACACAGAGAGGCAGATAGAGAGAAAGTGGACACCGATGTGATAAGAGGGACAAAAGCGTGGGACAGGAGGGACAACATCAGGTGACCAGAGACAGAGAGAGGGAGAAAAGAGAGAGAGGGGGAAAGTGAGAGAGACCTCCTACAACCACCTCTGAAGCCAACCCATAAAATGAATTCAGACTCAGATAGCAGCAGAGCTTCTTCCCCGGACATGGACGTTATGTCACTCCGAGAACACCATCCACACCACCACCACCACCTCCACCACCTCGTCGGATCCTCTGTGTCCTCCTCCACCCAGAAGCTGAGCGCCAGCGACCTCCTGAGATCCGAAGACCCGAAGTCAGTGGAGAGCAGCAGCAGCGGCGACAGCAGCAGCGGCGACAGCAACAAGTTCAAGCTAAAGAAGCCAGTCACGGAAGAAGATATGTACCACCTGCGACTCAAGATCAACGGCCGGGAGAGGAAGCGCATGCACGACCTCAACCTGGCTATGGACGGCCTGCGCGAGGTGATGCCGTACGCGCACGGGCCCTCGGTGCGCAAGTTGTCCAAGATCGCCACGCTGCTCCTCGCCCGGAACTACATCCTGATGCTCAACAGCTCCCTGGACGAGATGAAGCGGCTGGTTGGGGAGATTTACGGAGGGCACAACTCGGCTTTCCACTGTGGCTCCGTGGGTCACCCCGGGGGCCCGGGTGGGCACGCCGGTGGCCCCTTAGCTGCCGCCCACGCTGCTGCAGCCGCCGCCGCAGCCGCGCACCAGGTGCACCCTCTGCTCGGCGGCGCGCTGTCAACACCCACATCCTCCTCGCTGTCCAGCGCGCTGCCGGGCCTCACGTCTATCCGAGCCCCCCACCCCCTGATGAAGGGCGTCCCGTCTGCTCCCCAGGCCCTGCAGCTGGGCCCCGGCTTCCAGCACTGGGCCGGGCTGCCGTGCCCCTGCACCATCTGCCAGGTGCCCACTCCTCCACACATGCCCATCAGCTCCTCCAGCCTCAGCAGACTCTCAGTGGAGGGCAAGGACCTGATGAAATGATGCGTGCAGACCCGCAGAGACTGAGCCATGTGATGGTGTTTGTAAATACAGGATTCAGGGCATAAGGGGGGGTTTGGTCTCACTGGTGCATGTTGTTGTTTTGTCTGTTTTCTTGTTTGGCGTATGAGAAAAAAAAAAGTAATTTTCCTCCTTGTAACAAGGACTTTAAAGACTGCTGATTTTGCCGATCTAAGGTGAAAATAAAAGTTGTGTGTCATGCAACAAGGTGCCACATCTCCGTGTGTCTGAGTTTTATAGTCTCACGCCACAGTGTAAAAGTGGAAGGAGGCTGCATGAACATTTTGATTTGATTTTCCTTTCTTTTGTATCAGGCGTCATTTTGTGAAAACGAAGAATGCTCTCTGTGCCTTGTACCAAGGATTTTAAACTTGAGTTGTAAATGAAAATAATGACATTTATGTATTTGGCTTATTTTATTGGCTATATTTGTTTTAAATTCTGTAGGTTTATTTTTATTTGGTGGCTCACTGTGTGTTAATTTGTGCTCTGATTTCCATTTTTTATTGTCAGTCGTTTTTTCTTTTTTGCATGACGGTATAATTATCACAGCATGATTGTTTTTTGTTGAACTTAATTTGTTATGCCAAGAGACCCCGTGTCTTTATTTTTGTACATTGTTGGTGACTGATGAAATATTTATTATCGCCCAGCGTCCCTGGCTGAAATTTCAATAAAACTGAAATTGTGGATCATATCTCACCGTCTTCCCCTGGTTTTTATATTATTACTGCCCAAACATTTAAAAAACATTTATAAGGTCAAGTTACACTTTTAAAGTCTGGTTTAATTAAAGTGTACTATTCTTTACTTTACCTATTTGTATAATCAAAAGTGCTAATTTAAACCCTTCAAACATATACCTTCAATTAATTTTTATATTATCTTTATATGAAAATATTTATATATTTTTGATTTATAAAAATCTAAAATAGTTGTGTGTATTATTTCAAAGCCCTCCTCTGTTTAAAAACATTATGATGAGTTTCCTTTTACAGACAATATTTTAAATAATAGAATAAACTCGTTTTTGTTGATTATTAACACAACTCAAACGCCAAAACGAAATGTATTCTCTGATAATTTACTTTATTCCTCCTTTGAATAGAATTTCACTGGATAAATAAGGGAAAAGCAGCGCTTTAAGGATTTTAAGGAAATGTATATTAAAATATATATTTGGAAACAACTATACAATTTAGTTAATAAATCCCTAATTCCTATTCAGGTCAATTTCCTGCAACCACCCGCCACTTGAAAAAAAATCCCAAATCTGATATCATATTATCAGGTACTTAATTTCTCTTGTGTCTCAGCCCATGTTGCCCAACCAGCTCATGATAAACCAAAACAGATACAGGGTCACACAGGATTTACTCAACATTTCCGAGCAGCTGACAGAATGTTAACGAAAGGGAAGATGAGGCGCGGGGCTGCGGTAATGGAGCCCGGTTGAATGGAGCTCCGCCTCGGGGAGCGCAGAGCAGTTTGTCCGCCGAGTCCCTTGGGTGTTCCTCCGTCTCATCTCTGCAGCGACAGAATGTATGTTTGTGGAGATTACAAGTTAATTGTTCATGGGGGACCAAGAGGAGAAAATCACATCACAGGAAAAGCGTCGGGATTACAGGCTACTAAATGCAGGAAGATTATACATTCAGACCCCCACCTCGGCCTCGGTGCATGCAAATGAGTGAGTGGATTAAAAAAAAAAAAGACGGAAAAAGAAAAAGGAGAAGCCCTTTTGTAACTTATTTGGAGGGAAGAAAACACAAGTTGAGAAAGAGTGAAAGGGGTCTCGGGTTTTGTCTTTAGGAATGAGTTCAGCCTGTCTCTCGCTCGCACCCTGCCAGATGGGATGTAAATAGCTGGGTAGCTGCAATGGCCTTTTAACCACACAACACTGAGGAGGATGTTGTCAAGGGAAGCTGGCGGTTTGCGAGTTAATAGTCATGAGTTGGGGTAATTACTTAAGGTTTATTATGCTCTGGTTTCAAAGGAAATGGACTCTTCAATGGGCCGAGAAATACTTCTTAATTCTGGCTAATTAGGAGCCGAGGAAAGCAGAGACAACTGCTGCTGCCATCAAGAACATGTTACATTCAGGGGATCATTTGTAAGTGAGCCAATACATAATGCACAAAACACTCATGCACATGCAAATAACATGCAGAGGACACATGCACACCATGCCAGCTGAATGTTAAAGAGATTAATGTAAATCACTGCCTTTTCTGTTATGTTACAAATGTGGCAACCGGAGTATTTATGAAATTAAAATAAGTATCCACTGTAATTAAGACAAAAGCTCCACAAGTAAATGGAAAAGTAATCAAACACTTGTAAACAATGATTGAATTATACATTTTTCTGCCACTGTGTTTATCATAATGGTGCAGCTTATCTTCCTAGCAGGGTTCACAAACATTATCCTCATGAGACTCCAATGTGTATTTATACTTTACATAATCATGTAAATCCCACTGAGATTCCTGCATGGTTTTCATTAAGAGATGCCCAGCAAAGGCAGAAAGTTCTGAAAACGGCTTTAAAATGCAGGAATACAAGCAACCTTTTATTCTACCAATGGCAATTAAATTAAAATAAGAACTTATTTTGCACTTCTCGATTTTCTTTCTGTTGCTTTCTCTTTACTTATCCTGCTTTGTAAAAGTCTGCAGCAAGCATCAAAATCTAAAACGTGAATAAATTAGCCGAAATACATGAGTCAAGTGTATTGCCAGTGCAATACGATCTTATAGTGCAAATGACAGCAGCTTAACAAAACCCATAAGAACTTATCAAAATAAAAAAAGTAGCAGAAAATAAATCGTCTGAAAAAAGTGTGCATAAGAGTACGAAAGACATAAATCGGAGGTAAAATATACAACATACTGGAAATAATTGCGGGGACAAACCTACAATTATAATACCTTAAGTGTCCCTAGTTTACCAGTCTAGTGTTCAAAGCTTCATTGTATGTCTTTTTTTTTTTTTAAACGGAGTTGTCCACACTGCATAAATAATACTGACGGACAGATAATAGATTTAATGTCTTCAGAGAGTGAGTTTTGGTTTTTCAGGCCGGTTAGCGATGACTAAATGGACTCATGGCCGTCACCTCCTCTTTTCATGAGGTTTGACAAACGACTGGTCCTTTTATAGAGCACACACCTGTTACTGGGAGCCACTCGAGGTTTATCACTTAGAGCCACGCATTGTTCAGCTTCTACACACACACAAATTCACACACACACTAACAGGCCTTTTGACAGGGATGCTAACAAGGCAAGAAATGCTGTCAGCCTCCATCGTGTCCCTGCAGCCGGCCTTTATGGAAAAAACTGAATTAAAAATAGATGTAGTTTTAATTAAGAAAACGGATAGATGCTATCCAGCTCCATTTCACCTTTTCAAAGCTTCAAATATAAGGCTTTTCAGTCAGACGTGTACAAACAGTAAGGACTATTTCATACTTTTAAAGCTCCAGAGTTTAAACATCTGATATGGCAACGGCAGATTGTCGCTGCATTGAGTCTGAAGAGTCCTGACGTGTGGAGTGTGTGAACTGCTGGTTTGTTTACTTGCTCGGTCAGTGAGCGGTGCCTGAGGGCAGAAATTGAAAATAAATGTCAGTTGAATAAGGGGCAGCGGCCGCATCAGCCGAGCTGCTGCTGCTAGAACAAAAGCAGTTGAGGGGATAAGTTATTGAGCGGGCTGACAGCCTGAACGAGGCTGATTATAACTGCCTGGTCGTGCTCTCTCTCTGTGTGTGTGTGTGTGTGTGTGTGTGTGTGTGTGTGTGTGTGTGTGTGTGTGTGTGTGTGTGTGTGTGTGTGTGTGTGTGTGTGTGTGTGTGTGTGAAGCAGGTGCAGGAGGCATTAGTATTCAAATTCCG